GTCCCGGTGCTCCTTGGCGACATAATGCGGTTGGCTGTGCCCATCCTAGTCACAGGCAGGGTGTGTGGGCGCTGTGTCCCTGCTCACAGGCTCAGAGGCCACGTGGTGTGTGTTGGCAGAGGACGGGGAGTCGGCTGTGGTGGCAGACGCCCCACCAGCTGTGGGTGGGCCGGGCCCCAGGCTGGCTCACTCTTCTCTCTGCCCGCGATGCCCCGTGTTCCGCCGGCTGAGAGCGGGCGGCTGGAGGTGTGTGCCTTGTGGGGACGGTGGCTTGCGGCGGGGGTGAGGAGGATCTTCGGAGGAGCACGTCCTCTCCATGGAGCACATTCTCTGCACTGTCTTGGCTGAGGTGGGGCCTCGTCTGGGGTGGGTTTTGTTTCTGAGCGTCTGCGGACAGGTTGGGATGTCCACTGCCTTTCTCGCCATGGGACTGACCAGAGAGCACTTAAAGATGGAATTCTAAGTACTGGACCGAGGGCTGCTGAGAATTCTTTGCATGTGGGGTTGGTGGGGCACCTGCGTACTGGGGATGAATCGGGGTCATCTGGGTGGCTATGGTCAAAGAAGTGACAGACCTATGGGAGCAAACCACAGCCGGGCTTCATCCTGTGTCTTCTGCTGAGCCTGGGCCACAGTCCCTCGGAGATGGGGCGGGCTTGGCCATAGGAGTCCGAGTAAGCAGGGAAGGGGTTTGCCCTGTGCCTGGAGGGGCTTGGGGCCTGGCTCTCCCTTGACCATGCCTCTGCTTTGATTCTGACTTAGTGATCTGGGTCCTGCCCCTCCCCCCGCAGCGGGCGGTTGGGGTCACCTGTGTCTCTAAAAAATGTGGTCCTCAGATGCTGGCATTGCCCAAGGTTATGCATTTGGAGTCTTTGGAAATAGGGCGCATGCTGCACTTCGGGGGGGGGGGGCAGTAACAGCACAGAGCCAGCTGGCGGCCCCCTCTCCTCCCTCCTGCTGTACAAAGCTTTTAAATTGTCTAGGGTCTCGATACGCTTACAGTTTCGAGTTTGTCTCTAGTTCTCCACTGTCCTCCACTGCCCTGACCTCTGACCTTGTGAAGGTGTGCAGGGGCCGTTCCCAGTGGCCACTGCCCTCTCCAGACTGTCCGGGTCAGCCTTGCTGGGACCAGGGCTGGCCTCCAGCGCGGCGGCAGCAGGCTCACGGGGGCTGGCCCCTGTCCACCCGAGAGCGTGGAACCTGCGCCGTGGCCGCCTCTGTTCCGTGTAGTCTGGGTGTCTGAAGTCTCAGCCGCATGACGGGTGAATGGCAGAGGAGCAGCGCAATGGGGTGCAGGGCTGGGGGGGCCAAGCACGGGCTCCGCGAGCAGCTGCTGGTCTGGTCATCCCACCCCGGGTTCCGAAGGGCTGACACCTGCCCCCCCCCCGCCCCCCCCGGAAATACAATCTCCTGTTAGGCTGATCAGAAAGGTGCTAACAAGCTCTGAGCACCTGCTGTGTGGGCCTTTCTCAGGCTGGCCAGAGAGCGTGCGTTCTCCGGGCTCAGGGACGCTCTCCTATGTGGTCCCCAGGAGTGGAGGGGTGGCTGCCCCATCAGGGAGAGGCTCGTTCTGGCTGGACAGGAAGAGACGTACAGGGAAGCCCGGGGCCGCTGCTTCCAGTGAGAGCCCCGGTGAGGGTGAGGGCAGGTGTGCGTACAAGGCTGGGCCGCAGCTTCAGGGGACAGCCTGGTGGCCTCCTCCAGTGCGCCCCTCGCCCAGGGCCCCACCCCAGCCTGGGCCCCTCCTGTGCTGGCTGCTTCTCTTTTGTGCTCCCCCGTGTTCCATCCCAGCTGGGACCTCACTGCCCCCATCGAGCCCCTCCCTCCCCTCCCCACCTGCCGGAGAACAAGGGTCAGCCTCCTGGATGGCCTGCTGGCCCATAGAAATGAGTCGCTGCTGACCCCTAGCGTTAGGAATGCCCACCTGCAGGAATTGCTAGAACCAGCGGGTGAGCGGGCAGCACGGGGATGGCCGGTGGGATGTGCAGGGAAGTGGGCAGTGGGCAGTGATGACCGGTGCGTGGGGCTGCACATCAGACTCTGCGGGGATGGCCAGTTAGGAGTAGATGGGGTTGGGTGGTGACCTTGAATGTGGACCGTGTGCTGTGTGTGCCAAGGAGCTGTGGCTGGGCACCACCTGGTCAAAGCTGGCTCTAGGGAGATGCGGTTGGCGCAGTGTGGAGGGCAGCCGAAGGCAGGAGACCGGCAGAAGAATGGGCTCGGGGTCAGGAAGGTGTCCTGGGTGTGGACAGGTGGGGCTGGCTCACCCCATGGCCTTTTATCCCCTCATGCCATCGGTGACCCGAGTGCCCCTCCCAGTGCCAGGTGCACAGGAGGCACTGGTCAAGGCAGGCGAGGCCCGTGGGGAAGGCGTGACAGGCAGGGGTCCCAAGAGTGACTCCTGTTGTGTGTCACGGTGGAGGGTCGGGGACGGTCCCTAAGCCGAGAGCTGTGTGCCGTGAGGGGCGGCCCTTCCTGGGGAGCGGATCCTGGCGGCCAGGGTGGCACGGAGCAGCGCTGAGTGGCGTGGTGGGTGAGCAGGGCTCGGAGCCCACCGCTGTGAGGCGGGAACTCCCGAGAGCCCGAAGCAGGGTGCGAGGCCAGCCCCGGAGCATAGCAGTGGGGAAGAGCCGTGGCGGCTGGGCGGTGGCCAGGCACGGGGTCGGGGGAAGCGGCCGCTGTCCCCAGCGGTAGAACCTATCAGACCTGCTGATAGTGTCTGGAAGTGGGGGTTGAGGGAGGACAAAGGCAAAGTCGCAGACCTGGGAGCCAGGGGCAGGCGGCGGGTGGGGGACGGTGCGCTTGGGCAATTCCAGAGCTGCTTCTGAAAGGGAGGCGTGAGTGGGTAGGGTAGCACACGTCACTGGCTTAAGGAGCAAAGGTTGCTGGCAGTGGCCCTGTCTGGGCAGAAGCGGGAAGATGGGAGGGGCTCTGGAGGGACAGGTAGGTCAGGTGCTCAGAAGAGGCTGGGCTGGAGAGAGATGGAGGGCGCTGAAATCCTGTGCGACCCCCTCCCCCGGGAGAGTTTCCACGGAGGGCCCCCAGAGCCCCGAACCCCCCTAGTTAGAGAGGCTGCGGGTTTGGGGGGTGTGGTCTGGGAGCAGGGAGCACCGGGTTTCCTGGAGAGGGGCCTGAGGGTCTGGGCTGTCCCTGGGCTGCCCCGGGATGGTGTGGGAGCAGAGGAGATGGAGGGGGCTTGAGGGGGAGGCAAAGCCACTGGTGGTGTGTGCAGGGGGTGGGAAACCCGGGGTCTGAGAGGGGGGTGATGTGACCCAGGACCCCTGTGCAGGGACCTTAATGAGGCGTGTGGCACTGCCTCGTGGCTCGAAGCCCAGCTTCGGGGGGAAGGGGGCTCCCGGGGCGTGGGTCGGGGCACAAGCTGCAGGGCCCAGGACCTCCCTGGTGACAGAGATCAGCCTGGCCCCAGTCCTGGCCTGGAATGGGAGTCATGGGGTCTGCCTGCCTCTTGAACTGGGAAAAGGGGCTTCGGGAGGATGAAGCGCTCCCCCCACATGCAGGCAGGGCCACTGAGGCCCTTCTGTGTGCGGCCCTCCCATTCACTCTGCATGCCTGCCTCCCCCATTCCCACCCAGCCTGTGTTGGGTTGCTCCCCTTTCAGCATCTGTTGCTCATCAGGAGCCATATCTCTCATGTTCCCCAGCACCCCTTTAAAGATTTTATTTTACAATTTATACACAGTAAAATTCACTCTGCATTAGGTTTAGGTTTTTAATAACAGTATGTGCGGACATCGGTAATGTCTGCTTTCACCCGCTGGTCTGACTCAGAGGCAAAGCCTCTTAAACCCTCCATGCAAATTCATGCGGGACAACGCAAACAAGGAGCAGGGCTGAGGGTCTGAGGGCTTCCTCTGCCCCAAGCCCGGGTGGCAGAGGCCGGGCATCTTGGAGGGAGGCGGCGTGGCTCCCCTGGGACCCTCCCTCCACTGACTTCCCCAGAGCGAGTGGGCCCTAGGAGGGTGTGGGAGCCCCGACTGCGGCGCCCAGGCAGAGCAGCCCTGTCTGGTCAGGCCCAGCGCGGGGGGCGGGGGGCGTGCCTGTGTCGGACGGGTAGGGGCCTGTGGATGACGCGCGGCTGATCTTGTCCAAACATGGTTTGCGTAGCCCCATGAGGGCTGGGGTGGGAGAAACGTGTGCCTCGCGCAAGGAGAGCGAGCCTGAGTGGATGGCGGGAGGCACCTCTTACCTTGAGACAGAGAAAGGTCAAAGGTCAGAGCTCTCTTCCATCCCCCATAGGCTTCGGCATAAAAGTGTTTGGAAGAAACTCTGCTCCTTCCAGCAAAGTTGGAAAAGGACTGAGGGGTGTTTTCTAGCAGGGTGACAAGACCACGGCTGGACTCTGCTTGGGTGTGGTTGCCCAGGTCCCGCGGTGGCCCACGTACTTCCCACGGCGCCAGCTAGGCAGGCTGGGGTGGGGGTGGCCCCCACCCTCACACCCGCTGTAGCCCCCACAGCTGCCACGCTACACCCAGCTCAGGATTTGGCTCCCACTCGCCCCAGGGGACGCTGTGGGGCCTGATGCCCCCTCCCTGCCCACCGCATCCCCCGGTGCCTGTCGGCTGTCTCACCGTCCCTTCCCTCCCCACTAGCCTCGGCAAGCACAGGGCCTCGTCGTCCCCTGCTGGCTGGCCCGCAGGAAGTGCTTCCCTTTGGTATCTGGTGGCCAACCCAGAGCTGCTGCTAGCGTCCTGGAGGGCAGCAGCAGAGGGCCCCGAAGGGCAGGGCCTGCTCGCCGATGCCCCACGTGGGCCAGGGCAGCGATGACCAGGGCGTGCTGCGGCATCGCACTGACCGGGGGTTCGGTGCGGCTCTAGGGCCGCTGCCCACGAGCCCCTGGCCGTGGCCGGCGTGTTTGCTCCCGGCGGCGGCGGCGGCGGCGGCGAGCCTCTCGGTGCCCAGGGCGCAGCCAGAGCCCGAAGGGCGGCCCCGCGCGCGCCCCACCCCCCGGGCCCCCGTGCTCAGAGAACTAGGCCGCCGCACTACTGTGCGCATCAGACTGAACCTCTTTATTAAGTGCCAAGGGTCCGGGCGGGCGCTGTCCCCCGCAGCCCCTCGCCGAGGCCCGCGCTGCAGCGGGGGCGCCAGGCGCGCCCCGGCCGCTCACTTGACGTGCTCGGCCGCGTGCGAGGAGCAGTAATACTTCTTGTGGGCGATGAAGGTGGACAGGCTGCTGAACTTGATGTTGCACAGGCGGCAGTACCGCTGGCTGCCCGGCGGCGCGGGCGCGCCCTTGCCGGGGGTCTGGGCGCCCTTGTCCGGGTGGGCGGGGGGCGCCGGCGGCGGCGGCGGCAGCACGGCCTCGGGGCTCGGGGCGGGCGGCGGGCCGGGCCGGGGGCTGCCGTCCGCCGCGCCGGGGGCCGGCTCCCGCGGCTCCTGGCCGTTGCGGCCGTCGCGGGGGGCGGCGGGCGAGGGCGTCCGGGCGCCGGGGCCGGCGGGGGGCTGGCCCAGCGGCAGGCCGTGCGCCAGGCGCAAGTGCTCGATGAGGTCGCCGCGGACCACGCCGTTGGGCGGGCAGTAGGGGCACACGACGGCGCCGCCGGGCGCGTCCTCGGGCGCGGCGCGCAGGTGGCGCGGGGCGGCGGGGCACGAGAACTTCTTGTGCGCCAGGTAGGCCTCGAGGCTGTGGAAGCTCACGCGGCAGGCCGTGCACTCGTGGTAGTCGGCCAGCGCGGGCAGGCCGGGAGCGGGGCCGGGCGCCTGCCGCCGCGGCTTCTTGCTCAGGTCGATGGGGCCGTCGGCGGCGTCGGGCCCGCCGCTGCCGGGGCCGCTGCCGCTTCCGCTTCCGGGCCGGGGCGACGGCGACGCGGGCGGCTCGGGGGCGGGGCCGGGCGGCGCGGGGGCGGGGCCGGCGGCGGGGGGCGGGGCCGGGCCGGCCGCGTGCAGCTCGTACAGCTTGCGGCGCCTGCGCGTGCGCACGGGCGGCGCGGCGGGCGCGGCCGGCGCGGGGGTCCCGGGGGTCCCGGCGGGCGTGGGCCGGCGCGGCGGCGGGTCGTGACGCGAGGCGCAGTAGTAGCGCTTGTGCACCGTGTAGGTCTCGTGGCGGCTGAAGCGGATGTTGCAGGCCTCGCACAGCGTCCGGCGGGGGTCGTCGTCCTCGTCCGCCCCGCTGCCCGGGCTCGGGCTCCCTGGACTGCCTTCGCGGCCCCGGCCGCCCCGCTCGGCCTCGGGCTCGGCCTCGGGGCTGGCTGCGCCCCCCGCCTCGTCCTCGCGCGTCCCGGAGCCTGGCGACGCGTGCCTCGCATCGGCCTCTGCGGGCGGCGGGCCGGGGGGCGCGCGGGCGGGGGGCTGGGGCACCTTGGCCCTGCGCGCGGGGGGCGCGTCGTCGGGCGGGCGGCGGCCGGAGCAGTAGAGGCGCTTGTGCACGTAGAAGTTGTTGACGTTGTTGAAGGTGATGTCGCACTCGAAGCACGTGGCGCCCTTGGGGGCCCCCGCGAAGAGGCCGGCCTGCGCCCCCGCTCCCGCCTGCAGCCGGCTGTGCACGAGCTCGGACATTTTGGCCAGGATCTCCGAGGCCGGCGGCGCGGCGGGGAACTGCGGCAGGAAGAGCGCGCCGGCCGCCAGCCCCAGCTCGCCGGGGCCAGGGCTGGAGCCGGGCGTGGGGCTGGACAGCTCGGGCTTCACCGTGGCCGCAGCGGGGCTGGGCGGTGAGGGTGACCGCGATGCGGCCGTGGGCCCTGGCTCCGCCTCGGGCTCCTCCGTTGTGGCCTCCGCCTTGATGGCCCGGGGCGCCGCCGGGGGCTCGTTGCTGCCCCCGTTCTGCGGGGCGGCTCTGGTCTCTCCGTTGGTGGTCTCTGCCAGGGCCTTCCTGTCCAGTCCGGGCGACGGGGTGGGCGCCAGGCCCAGGTCAGCAGAAGCCAGGGGGCCGTGCAGGGCCGTGTGCTGCTGGAAGCTGGCCAGGCTGTCTGCAGGGAGACCCCAGGGGCCACACTTCAGGGCTGGAGCAGGACCTACCTGGGCCAGACCTGAGGAGGGGCAGGGTGGGAAGGGTAGAGCTGGACCGGGCAGAGGTGGCGGAGGGCCAAGACTGAAGTGGACTCCTGGTCGCCATCCCTTCCCAGCCCAGGGCCTCACCTGGGGGCAGCTTGGCGGCGGGGTGCCCGGCCCCTGGTGAGTAGATCTCCGCCTTAGAGCCCGGTTGGCAGACCATGTGGTTGGTCACCAGGTGGCTGTAGAGGATGTCCCTTGTGGTGGAGATGAACCCACAGCTGTGGCAGATACCTGCAGGCAGGCTGTGGTATCAGGGCCCGGGGGTGGGGTGCCCCCCAGCCCCTTCCCGGCCCCCACCTACCGCTCAGCGTGTCCGTGTGCACCTTCAGGTGCCGCTCACAGTTGGCCTTGGTGGTAAAGGCCGACAGGCAGATCAGACATACGAAGGGGCGTTCTCCTGGAACACAGGGCTGAGTGAGGGGTGGGCTCCTGGAGCCCAGCTGGCCAGGGGCCTGTGACCTGGGGGCTCTGTTTAAACCTGCCTCCTCTGCCCCTTGTCCCCTGGGACTGTGGCAAGCACCTGGCCCCGAGCTGACCATTCTGATGAGCACCGGTGGGCCGTGTACTCGGGAGCACTGTGAGGTGCCCCGGGAGGCTAACACAGGCCTATGTGGCAGGGTGGGCGCCCGGGGCCAGACGGGGCAGACATGCATTGTTGGGTGGGCATGCAGACCGCGGCGGGCGGCCCTGGGGAGGGGGCGTGGTGCTCACCGCTGTGGCTGCGCATGTGGATCTCCAGGGAGCTGGCGCTGGGGCAGCTTTTGCGGCACTGGGGAAAGGGGCAGACGCGCTCGTGGGGGTAGGTCTCCTTGGGCTTGTCGTCGGCGGCGGCCGTGGAGCCGGTGGTCTGGCGGCTGGCGCAGTAGTAGAGCAGGTGGGCTTGCAGGTTTCTCTCGCTGCGGTACCAGATTCCACAGTCTTTGCAGGGGAAGACGTCCTCTGTGGGGCGGGGGAGAGGGGGCGCCCGCAACTCAGGGCAAGGCACGGAGCCTCCCGAAACGGAGGGCTTGGCGCTGCAGGCCCCTGCCTTCCTGAGGGGTGGGGTTTGTGAATGGGGCCTTCCCTCCTGCTCACTGCTGGTCACTGGGTTCTCTAGCTCTAGCTCTCCAGGATGCCCCAGGATCGCACGGATGGGGTCTCTGACTAACCCCCCAGGCTGCCTCCCAACAGCGAGCCCCCAAGAGATGCCGGAGCCTCAGTGGGCGCCCGCGGCAGGGCTGTGGCCATGTCCACAGGCACCCGAGGGAGGGGGGCTGGGCGTCTGCGATGTTGGGGGTGGCCATGTGCCGGAGACCGTGTGCTGTGAGGGGGCTTGAGGGATGGCGTGACCCTGGGCCCCTGTGGAGGAAACGTGTGTGTTCACGGGAGCAGGTCTGAGCGGCCAGGTGCACAGGGAACCCCTGAAGCACGCGGGCAGGAGGACGAGAGTGGAGCATGGCTCTGGGCGGCCTCAGGTGGGGCGAGGCTGGGGGCTGCAGAGGAAGAGGAGCTCGCCCTGTCTCTCCTCTTAGCCCTCCCCGCAGTGTTTTCACATCAAGTATGGATGGGCCAACATTGCTTAATTCACGTTTATCTCAAGACAGGTGGCCTGGGACTTTTCGGTTTGTAGGAGCTCAGCTTGCGGGGGCGGCAGAGGGGTTCCCAGCTGGTGAGGGTCTCTGACGGGTGGTTCTCAGGGTCTTTGTAGCAGGATGCTGCAGAATGCTGTTTGTCTCTGCTCCACGGCCCCCTGCCCCTTGGATGAAGACAGGGGAGGGGGAGGGCTTGTTCTGGGCCCTGGGACGTGTCCGGGCTCTAGTGCAGCTTAGGACCCGATTCTCATCCCGGCGTCTCTGAGGTTTATCCTGGGTCCACAGTTGTGGCAGAGGGGGGGTCCTCAGGGCAGCTCTGTTCTCCATCAGCTGAGGCGCTGAGCTGGGATTGGAATCTGAAAGGCCCCTGGTGGGTTTGTTTCTGTGCCTGTGGGGCCAGGGCTGGGAATGGTGCTGCTGGCTGTGGGTGGCCTCAGCCCTGAGGTTTAGTGAGGACCACAGCCCCATTGCACAGGTGAGAAAACAGAGGCCAGAGTGGTTGATAAACCAGGTATGACGGACTCTGTATCGAGGCTTTTCTAGCCCACAGTAGCAACAGTCCTGTTTCAGGGTGAGGCGTGCACCCCCAAGTGGAGAAAGCTCTCCCAGCACCTTGAGCGTCCCCCGCCTCAGCGCTGAGGACTGGACTGACCCTGTTGGGCACTGTGGGCCCCAGATGCTCCTGGCAACCAAGTGGCCCCGGAGAGCCCCGTCCCCCCCACAGCCTCAGTGTCTGGACGGGGTCCTGCCCCCAAGGACCCCCGCTCCCTGGAGGGCTCTGGGGGGGGGGGTGAATCTCACATGTGCAGCTCGTCCCTCTCCCCGCGTCATTTCCACCAGCCCACAAATGCGCACCAGGATTGCCTGAGTTTCAGCAGCGCAAGCCACGTCCCCTCCACACGCTCGGTCTCTCCACAGCCAGGATGTTGTGCACCGGCCCCTGCCTGCGGCTAATGCCCCTGACGTGGGTCCGCAGGTGCTGCCTGGCCCCCAGCCGCCTCCAGGGCTCCCCTTTGGTGTCCTAAAGCCACCTGGGGTCAGGGCAGGTTCCCCCATCCCTGTTTAACTTCCTCAAAAGGTCCCTTCTTTCCAAGTTCGCAGCCCTGCAGTTGGATCCTACTCTTCACTGAGAGGAAATCCTAGCCCTTGCCTGGAACCACTTTGGGAGAACACCGTGCTGGGCTTGAGCCCCGGCCGCCCCCCCCCCCCCCCCAATAAAGTCGGCACTGCCATCCTATGATCGTGTCCCCACCTTACTTCATGAGATGCGCCCTGCTCAAGGCCACCCCCCCCCCCGAAGGCTATCTGTGCCCCTCAGCGGTGCCCTTGCGACAGGCTGGGTGACCCCAGACCCCTCGGTTCGGCGTGGATGGTGGGAGTGCAGCAGAGTGAACCTGACTTCGCAGCGACACCCTGACTCCGAGAGCACCCCAGCAGGGAGCGAGTGACGGGGCTCTTTCAGCCCAGGTGACACCCGGCCGTGTCTAGTGACGCGTGTAGACACGGCCCTGGCATCCGCCGGGGTGGGAGCCAGGCTGCTGCTCAGCATCCCACCTTGGGCATGTAGCCCGCTCTGCTTGAAAGCTGCAGCCGGGCCCGGCTAGTGGGGGGAGCGCGCGGGGCCTGGGGCCCGCCCCGTGCCACACTCATCGGCTGCAGCACGGCCTGCTCTGCTCAGATCCCCACGGTAACCCACCCTTGTGGGCCCACGGTGCCCAGGTGGCACGGATCGGTACTCACTGTTGATGACCGCTGTGGCCAGGATGGACGCCATGCCGGCCTGCTGTGGCAGGAGCTGGATGTCGGCAGGGGCCGGGCACTCGGGCTCTGCCGGCTCCTCCTTCACAGGGTGGCTGGGGGTGCCCCGGGGCTCGGCCGTCGTGACCAGCACGCTCAGCAGGCCGCCCGCGGGCACCGGCTTGGTGAGTCTGCACCAGAGGGCTTCATCTGTGGGGGCAAAATCCTCAGTGGCGGGAGGGCCAGAGGCGGCTCACCCCACCATCCCGAGCCCCTCCCCACGGCCCCCTCTTGGAGACCAGGGTTCTGAAATCAGGTGGGGGATGGAGCCCCGGTCAGGGGGTGACCGGCTGGCTCCCCGGGCCTGCCTGCTCCCGCCTAGTGGGAAGGCCCTGAAGATGGCCCGCATGGCTGCCTGGGAGAAGGGTGGCCTGAGGGACAGGCAGCAGAGCCTGGGGCCACGGGCCGGAGCTGCCAGGCAGGCCCTCCCCCTTCTCAGCTCCACGGTGAGCCGCCGTTCCCATGGTAGCCAGCAGGGGGCAGCCTCTGCCAGCCACCCAGGCACCTGCCTGCTCACCTCCTGCATCCTGCTTGAGACCACCAGGAACCCTACACTGAGGCGCAGCCCTGCCCCCCACCCCCCAGGCCAACCTCGCGCCGGTCAGCTCTGTGAGGAGCTTGCCCTGCCTGGCGGACAGTGGCCGGAGCCCTGCTGACCGGGGCGGGAGGGGCAGGCCAAGCAGCACTAACTGGCCCGCTTGCTGGCTGGGTGTACAAACCCAGGGCTGACGGCACCTCCAAGCACCCCTTGATGGGTGGGGGGCTGGCGTCCTCCCCCACCCATGGAGGGGGACAGAGGGGTGAAGGGTGGCCTAGGTTCCCAGACGCTGGGCTCAGCACCTGCGCTGGACCTCCATCATGCCACGGAGGCTCCCGTGTGGGGACAGAGCTGGAGGGAGGGGCTGCCCACAAGGCCCACTGGGCTGGGCACATGCCACCTGGCCTGCCCCTGATGGCCTCTGGCTCCCTCCTGAAATGAGAGCTGCCCGCAGGACAGGGCTTTGCCTCCTCTGGGAGCATTCAGCTGAATGCGCTGTGCGCAGGGAGGCAACGTGTCCGTGGCACCCCCCGGAACATTCCAGCAAAACAGAGCCCCCCCACTGGGGAATGAGGCCCTCTCCTGTGGTTGCTGGGCATACACCCTCCCGATGGCCACACTGGCTGGACAGACCTCGTGTGGCTGTAGACATTGTCACGATTCTCTGCTGACATCATCCCCTTGGGGACAGAGGGGATCTCCACTGCCCTGACATGCTGGTTGTCACACATCGAGAAGACCGTGTCAGCCTTCGCTTAGGGGTCAAACCTCCCAGGCAGGCGGGACCGTGGCCTTGGCGATGGAAGCCCCCGCCTCACGTGTGAGCGCCTTGAGCGCTCTGAGCAATAGGGGAGGGGGACTCCCGGGCCACTCCTTCTAGAAGGCCAGGGGACGTGGCCCGGCCCCACGAGGCTGGGTCTGAACGTGGCCCTCCTGCTCTTCCCCAGGACGAGCCAGACTACATAGGACTGGAACATGTGTATATACCTTGGCCCACCTGGCCCGGGATTCTCTGCTGACCCCGGTGGTCTCCCAGAGGCCCGGGAAGAGAAGCAGCGCCCCGGCCCCCCGAGACCCCAGGGCGCCCCGAGGCCCGGCCCTAGCTCGCCTACTCTGCTCAGCCCGGCAGGCTGCTTTCCCTTTAAGGGCCAGCCCAGGGCCAGCTGAGCGGCCCCCACCTGCCGGAAGGCCGCGAGGGAAGCGCCAGGATACCAACCCTTCCGGTAGATCTCCGCGTTGGCTTCGGCCTCGGTCAGGGCCTGTGGCAGCGACGTCAGCCAGCAGGGCTGGTCCTCCAGCAGCAGCGTCAGGGCGGGGCCCTGGGGGGGAGAGGAGGGGCTCATCAAGGACCCAGCACGGGAAGAAGCTGGCCGAGGGCCCCGCGTGGCGCCCAGGGAGGAGCCCGTGACCCCCGGCAGGGAGGCCAGGCTGCAGCCTGCTGCCCCTCACTGGGCGCTGTGCGGCCAAGGCCGAGCACGCAGCCGGCGCCTCCCATGCGCGGGGCATTGGGCTCTCTTGGAAACCGAGGCCCAGGGAGCAGCGGAGCCGGGATTCGCCCAGATCTGTGTTCTCGCCCTGCCCCCCTGCTCTAGCAGGCTGCTGGGTGCCACGGGGCAGCCCGTGGGCGCACGGGCCAGACTGAGCACAGGTTCCTCGCACACAGGCCCCCAGAGCGAGCTCCCAGAGCTGAGGCTGAGAGTGGCCTGGAGGAGATGGTGTCTCCCCAGAGAGGGGCTTCTAGGTCCTCCCCGAGGTTGGGGGGTGGTTCCCTGCCTGCTACAGGGCGTGGCAGGCCCACCTCTGTCCCATCCGCCCCGAGGCCAGCCCACGGCAGACACGAGCACATCCTCCTGGGCCGTACATCCTCCTGGGTCCAGTAGCTGAGGCCCCCAAGCAGCAACATGACCCCATGCCAAGGCTGGCTCGGCCTCCCTGAGGCTCCCAGAGACTGACATCCGTGTGTGGGGTTAGGGCGGAGGGGGGAGAGGCGGCAAATGGGGGCGCAGCTCACGCAGCACCACCTCGCCCGGCCACGTCCTCTCCCCGGCTCTGTCTGCAAGCCGGGCCTTTGCAGTGCCCGGAAGGCAAGAGTGCTCTGGGCTCAGCCCATGAGGCTGCTGCTGGGGGCCTGCAGAGTGGGGCTCCCTGATTTCTGACACCCAGGGCTATCCCAGCAGGAGAGGAAGCACATAGAGCCTGGTGCCGGGGAGAGAGGGCAGCCCGCGGCCCCGCTCTGCGGCCTGGCCCCCGCTCAGACGTTGAGGAGACCAGGCACAGGTCTGTGGGGGCAAAACCCTGGCCTGGCTTTGCCCTAGGAGGTTGGGGTGACTCCTGCCACATCCGGGCCCTCAGCCCCAGTGCCAGGCCTGGGATCTGGGCCGGCTGCTTCGACCAGGGGTCCCCAAGCTCCGCCACCAGGCACAGTACGCACCCACTTTGGGGTACTTTTGTTTTATGCAAATAAGTGCCTTTTATTCAGAAATGGTGCATGGGGACCTTGCATCGGAGAACCAGTATCACCTGGAAAGGCTGCCACCTAGGCTGGGTGGCTGTGTGCACGCCAGGGGTCCACACAGCCGCCAGCCGGGACACCACCATGGTGGGACACGATGGCGTGTGAGGTGTCCTCCGAGTCTGGGCACCTCCTTGCCAGCTCCGAGCCCAGGTGCTTCCCTGGGCTTTGCCTCCTGCCCGGGGACAACACAGGCTGCAGAGCCGGGCTTTGGGGTCCAGGCCAGGCGTGGCCTCCCCTGCTGTGACCTTGAGCCGAGCACCACCCTGCAATCTGAGGTGAGCCCTCTGTCCACTCTGCCCACTCGTCCCTACCCTGCGGCAGACTCAGGCCCATGAGCCAAGCGCTCCTGGGGAAACCCCTAACCAGGTTGGGGCAGCGTGGCCAGTGGGGTGCCATGGAAGGGGCAAGTGGCGACTAGTGGCCAGAGGGGTGAGCTCTAGCTGTGGGAGCAGAAGCGACCTGCACCCATGCCTGCCCTCTCTGCAAATGGGCACTGCCCCTCGTGCTTGGAGCTGTGACCCAACCCACGTGCTTGTCGCAGGCCTGCCATCACCCTGCTCCCTGCTCTCGGTGGTGGGGCTGGGTGGTTGAGGCCTCTCTGCCACTCAGCCCCTCCTGGGGCACTGGAAGCATCGATCTGCGCGAAGCCCTCCCTTCCAGCCGTGCCCACCTCTGTGCAACCAGCACACAGACAACAGGAGCCCCCCCGCCTCCTTGCTTTCGCCTTCCCTTCGGCCAGCAGGACATGGCAGGCAAGGGCCGCGCCTTTGGGTGCAGAAGGCTGGGGACCACTGGGGCCCCACGTCAGCAAGTGCCACAGGTCAACCTGGGGAGAGCATCTCCACCACAGCAAGTAACACCTGCTTTTCACAGACATCTGGTGATCCCACAGCTGGGGGTCCCGCCGGCTCGGTGGGAGCGGGCACAGCGGCCGGGCGGGGTTGCCACCGCGGCGGGTGACCGGCGGCCCCCACGTCCAGCTGCGCTGACCTGGACAGCGGCTTGCAGCAAGGCGGGGCCGGGCCTCAGGAGTCTCTAATGAATATTAATGAGCAGAGGAGGGTGAAAAAAATTAATCTGCTTGATCCTCCGATTGGCGCTGTGGTAACGATATGAAATCTAATTATTCGTCCCAATATTTCTAACCCTCAAACTGAGACTGACAGCCTCCCGGTAGGTTTAATGCTTATCACTCGCAGGAGCTGCGTGCTCCCAGCATGATAAAAACGCGCACGGCTTTGCTGACACTGCAGATCCCCTCGTTCTCCGTGTACTGCCTGCGAGCCAAGGCGGCAGCGCCGCGGTCCCGCCAGGGCCCAGGGCCTGTGTGGCGGCGGCGGGCAGGCCGGGAGGACGGGGACAGGAGCAGAATGGGCCGGGGAATCTGGGGCCGCCTGACTCGGCCCGTGACCCCTCGATGCCGGGGCCTGGCGCCCCCCCCCCCACTTGAATGGGGGCGGCTGGGGACACGACCGTCCGTGGCCTCTCTCCCAGGCCTGCGCTTTGGTCCTAGGGGTGCGGGGTCGCCACCCAGGGAGGGTCTGACAGGTTTTCCCTCCTTCCGCCCCAACCCCCCCAGTTCCGAGCAGCCCAGGAACAGAAGTGCCTTTCTCTGGTGCCTGAAGGCATTGGGCCGAGGCAGGCTCTCTTCCCAGCCGACGCTGTGCTGCCCGTGCGCAGGGACGTGGGGTGTAAGCCTGGGAGGGGCTATGTGTTGCTCCCCCGCCCGGCCTGTGCTGCCGGCCACCTTCCCTCCACAAGCGCCCCCGGGTCCCATCTGGGTCCAGCTCACCCTGGACAGGCCGTGTCTGGGTTCAGGAAGAAGCCTCTCCACCCGCCCAGCCTGCAGCCCCTTGGGGTCGTGCCTGTTCCTACTGGCTCCAGGATGGCCCCACCTGGCCCTGAGATAATGGGCGGCCACTTGAAGTTCTCTGGGTGCATCTGAGACCACTCCTTGTTTCCCCCAACAAAGAGGTCAGTGTCTGGATTCTATGCCTGCCGATAACCATCAGAAACTCTATCTCTGCCCCATCCGCTGTGACTTTATCTGAGGCTGATCCCAAACCTTGCTAGCCATCTCATGAAACAGCATCAGGGGAAAGGGAGATAGGGGCCCCATTCGGGCAGGGGAAGGGGGTGGCCCAGCCCAGTGAGCCAGACCGCCCTGCAGAAGGTCAGTGGGGCTGCCCAAGCCTCCTCCGGGCCACTGTGGGGCAGGCTCATGGGAGGTCAGGGCTGGGGCAGGGCCCCCACCCACCTTCTTCAGCTCATCCTGAGAAGTCATGTCCCTGTCCTGTGCACGCTCCCAGAGGCAACTGCCTTTCTGTCCTCGGCTCTTCCTCTCCCCCAGACCCTGCAAAGAACCCCCTTCACAGATGAGGATAGAGGCCCACAGAACAGAGAGATGCCCAGGGCCACAGGAGGTGGATGTGCATACACAGGACTAGAACTGGGGTCTGCATGATCTTGGCTTCCTTCCATCCACTCATCCATCCATCCACCCACCCACCGATCCATCCATCCATCCATCCATCCATCCTTCCCCTCCCTCCATCCACCATCCATTCACCCCTCCACCACCTACCCATCCATCCATCCACCTACCACCCATCCACCTACCATCCATTCATCCATCATCTACCATCCATCCACCTACCATCCATCCATCCATCCCTCCTTCCATCTATCCACCCACCATCCATTCACCCGTCCACCACCTACCATCCATCCTTCTATCCATCCACCAATCATCCATCCACCATCTACCATCTATCCATCCATCCTCCCTCCCTTCCTCCACCTACCATCCATTCACTCCTCTACCACCTACCCATCCACCCATCTACTCATCCATCCATCCCTCTACTCATCCATCCACCCATCCATCCATTCGTTTGCCCCTCCACCCACCTATCCTTACCTTCCTGCCTCCACCCATCCATCTGTTCATTTGTTGAACAGTCCCCCAGAGCCTGGTGTGGGGGGACCATGAACAGAACATGCTGTCCTGATCTCCCAGTGTGGATGCTGGAGTGGGGAGGCTGACAAGAAACAACCAATGGAGGCAGAACGTTCTAGAGACACAGGCTGAGAAGAGCATGAAATGTGGTGGGGGTGAGGTGGGGAGCTATGTGGACAGCAGGGATGTGGGCCCAGTGGCCCCCAGCCCTCTTCCTCGGGTGGCCCTTGGGCTCAGGGAGGGAACCAGCTGTAAAGGTGGGTCTGGTGCCCATGGCTGCCTTGGCCCCAGTGTGGCGGAAGGTGTTCCAGGGTCCCTGAGACCAGGCGGTTCCTCCTCCTGGACCTCCAGGAGGCCGGTCTGAGTTGACCCTTTGCACCCACAGCATCTCCTAGACCCTGCTCCTACAACTGCAGGCGGAGAGGCTGAGGTGTGGGGAGGAAGGGAGTCAGAGCCCCAGAAAGGCCAGTGGCAGGCCTCCTGTCCAGAGGACGTCCACCTCAGAGTGCCCCACACCGCCTTCCTCACCACCCTGGTGCTCCAGCCAAGCCCAGACCTGACCATCCCCTCAGGGGCTGCCCCGTGGCGGCTCAGGGGCCAACCTGGGCTGGACCCTGGCTCTGCTGCTTGCTAGCTCTGCGGAGCAGGCTGAATGTGCCCCCAAAGACATGTCCACCCAGAGCCTGTGGACACAGCCTTATTTGGAAAAAGGTCTCAGCAGATGTGATTAAATTAGGGACAATCCAGATGACATCCTTCTAGATTATCCAGTGTCCTAAATCCAGTACCGAGTGTCCTTATATGAGCAAAGAGGCAGAGGTGGGTGGCCCTGCTGGGAGGCTGGCTCTGCTGGGCAATGACCCCCGGCGCCAGCCTCAAGGCTTCCTGCCCGAGGGCTGCTCAGAGCCCGTGGGGCCCCACTGCCACCTCCAGCTGAGGGATGGGGGAGGTCCCTCTAAGCCGATCCCTGCATGAAGATGCACGACAGGGTAGAGCTCAGCTGGTCTCATTCCAACCACTCTGGAAGGGGCTTCTCCCCAGTGGACCCGCTGTCCTCCTGGGCAGCCACGGCCCCCGCTGCCAGGTCTCACTGATGTCATGGTGGTCTCATGGCTATAGTGGGTAAGCCCTGGGGGGACTACTGGACAGATGGGTCGAGCCACTGTGGGCCAGGCTCGGCATAAGAGTTCGCTCATTCATTCGTTCGCTCATCTGCTCATTCATCTATCCACCCACCCACCTATCGATCCATCCATCCATCCATCCGTCCATCTGTCCATTGATCCATCCATCCACCCGTCCATCCATCCGTATGTCCGTCCGTCCATCCATCCATCCACCCGTCCATCCATCCATCCACCCGTCCATCCACCCATCCGCCATCCATTCATTTATCCATCCACCCATTCACCATCCATTTATCCATCCATCCATCTACCCGTCCATTCATCCATCCATCCATCCACCCATCCGTCCATCTATCCACCCGTTCACTCATCCATCCGTACACACATATGTTCGTTGGTCCATCCATCCATCCATCCACCCACCCATCCACCCAACCATTCTGAACATTTTTTTTGGTATATGACTGCAAATTTTAGAGCTGGCTGGGTTTCCAAACCCTGGGAAGTGGAAGCCACAGTTGGGTCAGGGAGGGACCTGCCCAAGGTCACACAGCATGCTGGTGCAGGAACCACTCTCGACCCGACCCCTGCCAGGCTCTGTGCACTTGCTGTGTATTTCCTGGGGCTCCCACCCCCAAAAGTCTCGTGTGTATGTGTGTGTGTGTGTGTGGGAGGACTGTGAGGGGAGCCCTGCGTTCGCCCTCCCATCTGCAAGTGGCCCAGGGGCTAAGGAAACCAGCAGGGAAGGGTTGCCACGCTCTATCAGAGCCCCTCTCTCTCCTTCCTCTCCAAACAGCTAAGACAAACCGCCTGGCGGCTGATAGCACGATCTGGGGTGGGAGGTGCATGGGGGAGAGAACTGGGACCCATCAGCTGAGCTCGATAAGGGGCTCGCTGAAATGTTAGCGAAAATATTTAGACAATAAATGAAGTATCGGAAAGGCGCGCGTATCTTTAAGAAATCAATCATCGTGTACCGTGTGTCTGGACATTCGGCGCCAAGGCGCCTGCTGGGGAGATAAGGGTTAATCGAGGATTTAATTCTGTAGGAGATAAAGCTGCAGGGAAGAGCCCGAGAGGCTCCTTCCTCCCTCAGCTCCTCGGCAAGAGCCTCAAAGGCCACTGGCTTCCCTGGCGCTCGTCCCTCTCTCCCCGTGGACATTATCGCTCTGCCTGGAGAGCGTCTCCCACCTCGTGCCAAGTCTCCCCAGGCTGACCTGCGCCCCGGGCCCAAGGAGGACAAAACCCTCAGAGAGGAGGGCGGGGCAGGGACAGGGCCAGGACTCTGGGGCCAGCTCAGCCCTGTCCTTTCAGAGCCCGCAGGGGTCTCAGCTTGAGCAGACGTGGGTTGCAATTCTCCCTCTGCTATTTGATCCTGGGGAGTTTACCAAGTCACTTAACCTGCTGGAGACTCAGTTTCCTCATGTGTAAAATGGGGAGCATGCCTCACAATGGTGTGGGCGGGGAAGACCAGGGCCCAGGCGTAAGGATGGGCGTACCTCGGTGTGTGCAGTGAGCGACACCTGTCTGTCCTGGAGGGATGGACTGTCTCCAGAGTGGGAGAGCAGAGGAGAGAGGTGCAGGCCACACGCAGCTGCACCCCTTTGTCTTTTCACTGCTTATGAGAATTCAGAGCCAGGGAGCTCCCAGCCCACACACTCCTCCTTCCAGCCATGAACTGCCCCTCAACAGCCCACCCTTTGAAAAGAGAACTGCTGCTTGCATGCCTCCAGTGATGGGGAGCTCATTGCCTCAAGAGACTGCCCTGAACACTAGGGCCTCCATTCCCGCAGTGGAGCCAAAGTCTGCCTTGCGGTTGCCTCTGTTTTCTCCCTGCTTGGGCCATGGGACAAGAGGGTCAGTCGTCCTGTAGGGTGGTGGTAAGCTGCCCTGGGAGGTGGGTGTGCCATCAGCTGCCCCACTTGGCAGACCGGCGACAGCTCTGTCCGCCCACCCTCTCCTGTGCAGGGACGGTGGAGGGTCTGCAGGCTCAGGCCCCAGGGACCCTTCAGGGCCTCCCTGTGTCCCCACCGAGGACCCACAGGCTCAGGAAGCAGACGCTCAAGGAGCTCAGGAGCCTGCCTGGGAGCATAACTGCCATGAGGGAGGAGGCCACGGGACTGGGACCCTGCGCCACGGGGATGGCCTGGTCATGGGCTGGGAGCCCTCGGTCCTGGGCCAGCCTCCCGCTGAGCGGCCAAGGCCTGCATGTGCTCCCCTGAGCCCGGGCGCTCCGCTGTGATGAGCAGTGTGGATGGCCCAGGGGGCCTCAGCCGGGCTGCACGTTTAGACCCTGGGAGACTGCCTGGATCTCCAGAGGCCTAGGCCCCAGCCCAGAGATTGTGACTCGGGTGGGCGCTGTGAACGGCGGTCTGAGGGTCTGCAGCTGGGGACTCCTCCTGCAGCTCCCTACCAGCCCTGTGGACACTGTGCAGCCTGAGTTCCTGCACCCTGGTTTCTGTGGCTGAGAAATGGGGGCTCTGTCGGGCTGGAGCCGGATGGGGCTGTCAGGACAGCATGGGGCCTCTAGGTGTGGGCGGACCCTCCCCTGCAGCCCGGCCACCGCCTGCTGACCACACGGAGGCTGACCACAGGCCCACACCTGGGGCCTGCAGACCAGGAGGCCCAGCAGTGCGGGGCACCCACCAGCCAGGGTGCACCTGGATCAAGTCGCACCTGAATGCAAAACCGGGAATCAAAAAGGGCCCAGGCCTTGGCCGTGCCTGCACGTCTCGGGTGCCTGAGCCCGGGCTTGAGGGGACCCACTCCGGGTGCCTCCTGGCCTTTCAAGCGAGTGGCGGCAGGACTAGGAGAGGTTTCTTGAATACGCGTCACGGTCAGGTCCCTCCTGGTTCCGGTCCTACCCCATGCTGCCCATTCAGCGGCCCGGTTTCCCATACATCAGGCCCTTTCTTCCTCAAAATGTATTTTCAAAGGAGCCTTTGTACCGTGCGAGAGGACGCAGACCGACTTGCCGTCAACAGAAGGCAGTCCACAAGGAACCCCGAAGCGAGTGACCCCGTGGCGGCGGCGACTAGCGGGAGGGCGCTGCCCGGGTGGGCTTCCTACGACACAGGCAGGCCAGAAGTGCTGCGGAGGCGAAGACCCTGCGGCACCCGAAGGACCCACAGGGACAAAGTGAACCCCAGCCTCCGCTGCAGCGGACCCTCAGCTCCCGGAAAACCGCCTTGCTTGCCCCCGTTCACGAACCAGGTCCAGCCCCCCACCTCACACACCCGTCTCTTTCTCTGTCTTGCCAGCTTCTACTCATCCAGTAAGGGCCTCCTCCGGAAAGCCCTTCCCATGTCACCTCCTCCAGGAAGCCTCCCTTGTGCTCCCAGGCAGTCAAGTCCGTCCCGCCGTCCTGGTCCCAACACCTCAGGCCCCCCTCTCCCGACACACTGCACGCGGAGGGGCAGGCGCTCCTGGGCGGGAGCATAAGCCGGCTTGGCTCCAGGGGCGGAGGGGGTCTGTGCCCTGGGCCGGCCTGCGCCCTGGCTGCGGCCCTGCGGCGGGGGGTGGGCTGCCGGGGGTGGGGCTCCTTACCGGTTCCACCTGCCCAGGGGACGAGGCTCTGCTCTGGACGTCCCCGCGGAACGGGCCCCAGGACAGGCCCTCGGTGAGGCTGCGCCGAGCCCGCACGCACCTCTGCCTGTCCCGCACCAGCAGCTCCAGCTCGTCTGTGGGGAGAAACAGCGGGGATGTGAGGCGTGCCCCCGGCGGCGGCCACCCAGCCCCAGCTGCCCAGCTCGGCAGTCCCGTCCCCACCAGGGGTGGGGGTGCCCTGGGGGCCTGGGTTATGGGGACGGCGGCCGGTGTGTGGTTCCAGGAGCTGGGCCAGCCCCTGCTGCAAGCCCTTGTCTGGGGGACAGCAGGGACAGGACGGGGTGTCTGCGGCTGGATTTGAGCCGGTGGGACCACGGCTGCTCCGTGAGGACACATGTCCCCTGTAGCACCTGCCCGTGCCCAGGATGCACGCATGGAGCTGGGTCATCCCCGCAGCTTACGTTGGGGGGGGGGGCACACGGTGGAGAACGCCGTCCTGGCCTCCGCACAGTCCTCCCAGCCCCTCCCCACCGGCCTGAGCCCCCCACATCCACACAGCAAGCCTGTGGTGGAGGTTGTGGAAATGCTGGGCCCTGACGTCCCCATATCTAAGACTTCCTGCCTCCTTGGGCTGCACGAGGCTTGAATGCATTAATCCACCAACATGCTTAGCACAGCTCAGAGGGGAAACCAAGTCAAAGAGCCACGCACCTCCCCAAGGCCCTTGGCGAAGCCAGAATCTGCCCCTGGGTGGTCCTGACGTTGGCTCCGTTCACTCCCTGCAGATCGGCAGGACGGGGACTGTCCCCAGAATGCTGCTGCCCCCACCCACCCTCCCAGGACCGCTGCTCACTTTCTGGAAAGGTCTGGGCCCTGAGTCTTCCTGCCTCTCTGCATGGCCTCTCCTAGCTCAGGGTGTAAGATGCTCGGGTGCTGCAGCCACCTGCGCCATGGTGGGGGGCGGGGCTGCAAACTCTCCAGGCGCCGACAGCTCCTGTGGCCCAGGTGGTGGCCCCCGTGGCACGTGTTGGAGGGCCACCGCAAGGTGTGGTCGCATTTCTACAGACAGACGGGCTTCTGCTGTGAGTCCCTGAGAGTCATTCTCCCCAGGGCGGGACATGGGGTCGGACAGGGTCTGCATTCAGGCTCCTGGGTTCAGCCCAGCCTCACTGCATGGTCCACAGGACCTTCTACAGTGGGCTGAATGATGGCGCCGAGAAGATACCTCCACCTAGAAGTTGTGAATGTGCACTTATTTGGAAAAAGGGTCTTTGCAGATGTAATCAAGTTAGAAACCCGAGAGGAGACCATCCTGGATCATCTGGTGGGACCCTAAATCCAATGACAGATGTTCTTATAAAAGACACACAGAAGAGACAGGGGAGGCGGCCACGCAAAGACAGGCAGAGACCAGAGTGACGGGGTCAGGAGGAAGTCACACTGTAGCCCCTGGAGCTGGGGGAGACAGGAAGGACCCTCCCCCCAGAGCCTCCAGAGCGAGCGTGGCCCAGCACGTGGAGAAAACAGATTTCTGATGTGTTAAGGCCCCAAGGTTGTGTGTGTTTGTCGGGGCCACCCTGGGAGATTCACACTGGGCACGTCACCTGCCCTGCCTGAGCCTCAGTGTCCTCGTGGGACAAGGGGAGGCGGTGGTCACGCCCTCAGAGGGCGGTCCCTTCCCTGATCCCACGCCCTCTGCCCAGGAAGGCTGGGCCACCTTGTACCTTGGGTGCCATCCGGGCTGCCTGGGCCCACAGAGGCCTCACGTGGCCTGCCCTGGTCCCCAAGCAAGCGCTGTGGCGGCAGCCCCACTTCCTGGAGCCCCGATCGGGCAGGCTGTGGCCTTAATGGGCCTGATTATCAGATAACTGCCGGCCTAATGGCAGAGATAAGGTGTAAATACGCCAGGAGGCCCAGCTAAAACGTTCTAACTGGGTCCTTGTCTTCCCAGGGGCAGATAAGATGGCAGGGGACCAGGTCGAGGCTGAGGAGGCCGGCGCCCCTTTATCAGCCCCCCAGAGAGGGGGGCAGAGACTGGCTCTGTCACTTTGCAGCTCGCCCATGAGGGGCCATGTCCTTGCCAGCCCACCCAGGACACCTGGGCCCCAGCCCAGGGTGCTGCCCACGGGCCACCCCCTCCCTGGCCCTGCAGGTCCCATCCTCGGGGATGGGAGTGTGACCCAGCCGGCACAGTCACCCACCCCTGCTCCAGTGGCCTGATGAAGTCGGCCCTCTCTTTACGCCCCCGGTACAGATAAGAACACTGAGGCCTCAAAAGGTCATGTAGCTGGCAGCGGGATGTCAGGGTCTGAACCCAGGCCCCCTGGCTCTAGATGCTGACCCAGGGCCCTGGGTGTATGTGGGTCTCTGGTTCCCTGCCTGGCTGGCCCTCAGGGGACGGGCATACATGAGGGAGGGGAGGAGGAGGAGGAGAAGACTGTCTAAAGGCAAGCTTGCTGCGACTCATTTGTCCATCCACCCGTCTGCCAAGCCATCCGAGGCTGGTGGGGAGCTCACGATGGACTGAGCCTGTTCACCTCCCCGCCCCGACTCCCCAGCTCATGGAGGGAGGTCAAGGGAGAACTGTCCAGCGTCCTCATGCTGTGGCCTGCCCCTCTGCGGGCAACCAGAAACCTCAAAGCAATCCGGGGTCGGCTTGCACTTGGGCCTCTGAACAAGGATGGCCACACACCTCTCTGGACTGCATTTCTCCTGCTGGGACCACAGACGAGACAGGGAAGATGACTGGGAGCCCCTCCATTTCCACCTCGTTCCCCATCAGCATCCAGAGCACGTGGAAGGAGACCATTGTGGCCTCGTCGGGCACAGAGCCCCCCTTAGGACATGACACCTTCCACCTGAGGCTGGTGGCCCACCTTCCCATGGGAGGAGCAACTGGGAATTCAGTGCGTGGGGGGCCGGCCCGGGGGTCCCTGAGAGTAGAGGAGGAGTGGGGGCAGCCCTGGCCTGTCTCAGGGCCCCGGCCTCATGGTGATGGAGGGAAGGAGCTGAGCCAGTGTGCCTCCCCGTCCCGCCCACATGGGCACCCACAGGCAAAGAGCCATGCTCCCTAATCGGAGCCCCAGGGCCGGCGGGCCGAGCCTGCCAGATAACAGCATGGCTGGTATTTCCCACGGCAGCCACTCCATCTTCTGGGTATCATGCATTGCCAGAGGGAGGGCTGGCTCCCGATAAAGGCTGCCATTCTGCAAGCCTGAGGGCAGAACCCACCACTCAGGCCTGGGAGAGGTGAGGAGGCCGGGGAGCCGAGGAACTTGGGTTAGGGATAGGGCAATGCTCACCACGAAAACCCACCTTTCTGCTTCAGGGAGGCCGGCTCCGAAGGGCTGTGCATTAGGAAGGGCTATGGCAGGTACCTGGCTGGGGGAGGGGAACATGGCTGGATCTCAGCCCCAGCTCACCCAGAGCCCTTGCTACAGTGCACAACCTGGGCAACTGTACACGGTGGCCCTGGTGATGTTCAACACCCATCTACTCAGATAAGCTATTTCTAGCAAACAGTTCCTGTCCAACCTCTTGCACAGCGGAAGCAGGGTCAAGCGGTATTAGAGCCTAGTTAGCACCTGCCAGAGACCCTCTCCTAACCAGAAGCAAAATTGCATCAGCAAAATGGGGTGGGTGGGGCCACCCACTCCTGGCAGGCTGGGAGCCTCATAAGGGTTCAGCTCAAGGCCAAGAATGAAATAAACGTATAGATGAGTGAGGGCAAGGGGCGAAGGGGTGGGAGACGCGGAGCTGGCAGGCGGGGACTGACAGGCAGGAAGACACAGTTATTTTTAAACAGCCTCTATAATAGCCAGAGGACCCGTGATGGCCGAAGAGACAGCTCCCAACCACACACACAGGAAACCTGGGGCCATGAGCACCCCAGCCACGCTGCAGGCTCTGTCTCTGGACTCGGGGCTCTATGCTCACTCAGTCACAAAACCCCGTGTGGGCACCTGGCACAGGGATGAGGGAGGCATAGCCTCTGCCCTCTGTGTCTCCCAGGAAACATGGGTGGTGGCAGCTGGGAGGGTGGGCCAGTTGGGGTGGGCTTCCAGGTGGAGGTGTCCTCCCGGGCAGCCTCCTGTGAGCCGGCTACTTTCTCTTCCCAGCTCCAGCCCAGTCCTGGCCTCCATCCCCCTAGTGAGCTATGGGGTGATGCCACCTGCCCGGAGAACGTATGATCCCAACACGCTTCCTGGCCCCATTCATGGAGCCTTGGCCACGCATCTGTACAGTTTGCAGGGATCCCTCCCTGTCCCACTGAGGTTCTCCCCGTGTACAGAGGAGGGCATCGAGGCTCAGAGAGGTTAAGCTACTGGCTCAAGACCCACGACGGGGAGGTGAGATGTGAACCAGAGCCCCAGCCACGCTCATGGCCAGGTCCCCGACACCCTTTCCTGGGCTGATGCAGAAGGCGGCAGAGCGACGGGGATGCCGCTGGAAGGGAGATGGGCGCGCGTGGCAGGCTGACTCCTGCTGTCCTCAGTTTCCCCTTCTGTACTGGTCTCCTCGGGGAGGGGGCAGGCCCCCATGGGGGTCAGGCTATCACTGCAGACACCGCATCAGGGCAAGGACTAATTTATTCCGGCAAACAACCCCACACACACATTATTTCCAGAACAAACACGCCGCAGCGGGATTCAATTTCGCCCCCCCAAGCATCTGTGAGGAACCAGACGAGAGAATTCAGCCCTTGCATATTTATATGATTTAAATGTCTGTTTGGGTCTCAAAGCCCTCTGACGGCGTCCCAAGGGGACAAAGGAGGCAGGGCTGACTGTTGCCCCTTCTGGGGTCCCGACAGAGGGGGTGGCCAGGTGAGAGACCTGGGGTCTGGAATCAGCAGGCCACAGCCGGGTCCCACCTCTGTGCAGCGCCCGCTGGCCTCAGTTTACCTGCTGGGCCGGTAGGTCTGAGGGTAAAGGCGAGCGTGTCAGTTTGAGAGGCCAGCCCTGCTCTCCCTCCCTGGGCTGTCCCGGGTCGCGGGGCCCAGCCCAGGGTGGCCGCTGAGCCACGGCCCCCGGCCCAGCTCTCCCTCATGCCCTGCAGAGCCCTCGGGGGCCACAACCTCCACAGTGCGCAGTGAGCCAGTGAGGCGGCGGCTCTGGTCTGCAGAGAGCTCGAG